TTAATGTACGCTTAGCCCACTTCTTTTTCCAATAAAGTGAGTGACCAAATCACGTGAGATTCCCCTTACTAGTGTGTTTCCCTGATCAGGCTCTAATGCAGCGTCCATCCAATTTAGCCTGCACACACATACCTAGAATATACGCCCATGAACCAGGCTCGGCTTTCCTTTGCTCTGTCAATTGGTTACCTTGGACACACCTACAGAGCCATAAGAGTGAGCTAAAGTGGCACCTGGACCACCACGGATGGGCACAGGGATGATCCAGAATCCCTCTTCGTGCAGGCTCCTGTGCCATCGTGTCCCGCACTTGCTCAATCCCAGATGACGACTCCCGCTTAATGATGAATTGTGTGTTGCCTTCCTAGTCTTATAACGTGTTGGTTCTGATAGACCAAGCTCGTGTAGCGTGATTTGGGCACATGCTCACTTCATGACCCACTGTCAGGCACGGTTTCTTTCAGGACCAAACAACATTCGAGAGTTATGTCTCAAAGACTGCATAATTTTCTGGAGCAGTGCACGGCCTTGCTTCCGGAAGTCAAGGGTCTGTGCTGTGATAGTCCCATTGACATTTGTATGTTCTCCAACTATAGCCCACCTTTAATATACTTTCAATATATTAGGCTCTGCAGGGTCCCAGGGTCCAAGCAACAGTACAATTTCCCTGACACTGGACAAGTTGTCGAGGCCTTTCCCAACAAGGGCTGCACTCAAACCCAGCTGTGTTTTATGTCATGTACCACAGGGGCAGGAATAGTATTCCCAAGTATGGAACATGCGGCCTCTAGAAACCAGAAAGTTCTATAATGTTGGGCATCATTTTTTTCTTGATGTGATGTGCCATTTATAAGAATTGACTTTGGTTTGGAGGGATAGCCTAGCAGCCATTGCCCTGGACCTCTACATATAATATTGATCTGGCAAACCCTTGAATCTTTACCAGCTATATTCTGGAGCATCATTCTGCAGGTTGGAAAAGCCCCAGGCTTTCTCTTCACCTCCTGTGTCTCTCTTGTGTGTCTCTTTTACTAGTCACGCAGGACACTCACAGCATTTCTGGTGACCAAACATGGGGGGTTTTTTCTTACATCAAGAATTCTCCACAGCACCATCTGGGTGTCCTATAATTTAACTCAATGCCTACAGTATTGACCTGGAGATAGTGTCACATCCCACAGCTTAAAGACTCAGTCTTACAAAACTGCCTCTCCAACCCCTGTGATTTCAAATGCCAATTGCAGGTAGTGGGTCTCCAGGTTACCACCAAAATCTTTCCCACTTGGCTACAAATTGAAGGTTCCCATGGCCTCCTTCTTGAGTTCCATTAATTTGCCAGAATGGCTTACAGAACTCAGGAAAACACTTACTTTTGTATTTTCCAGTTTATTAAAGGACCTGATGAAGGATACAATGCACAGCCATATGAAACGATATATAGGGTGAAGTCTGGGAGGGTTCGAAGCACAGAAGCCCCTGTCCCTTTGAGTAGCAGTGCATTACCTTCCTAGTACGTGAATGTGTTTACCCGTCTGGCAGCTCTCCAACTATATACCCCTAAGATTTTATGGAGGCTCACCCTCTGTACCGTGATCAGTTGTCACTGTTTCCAAGCTCTCTCCCCTCTTTGGAGAGGAGAGTGGGACTGAAATCTTCCAAGCTTTATTCATGGCTTGGTCTTTCTGGTGATCAGGTCCATCCAGGAGCCACTGAAAGTTGTCTCAGTAGAAAAAAGATGCTCTTAGTGTTCTCAGCACTTAGGAATTTACAAAGGTTTAGGAGGTCTGCACCAGGAACTGAGAAAGATATCTATCATCTCTCTATCTCTCTATCATCTAGGTCTAGATATCTATATATATGACATCGTGCTAGCTTCTTCTTGTCCATGATGTCATTTCTATATAACTAGATCTGGATTGCATGCACACACACAGACACAAAGAAACAGACACACAGAGACACAAACACATACACGCATGCACACACACACACACACACACACACACACACACACACAAGTTTCTTCTCTCCCATTCAGTCGAATTAACATGATGCCATTGATATACTGGATCATGTGGATGTCCAGAGAGACGGTATCTTCAGGCTCTATTATGACAGGGGCCAGTGCCTAATAATACCAAAGGTCTAAAACTGCAAATGTGTGATTGGATCCTTCTGTGTGTATACAAATGGAGACTTTCTTTGAGAGTGGGATGAAAAAAGTCAGGAATTAGCAAAACCAGTGACCCCATTTACCCGAAGATATAAGTGGCTTTACTTTAGCAAAGATACCACATCTGAAATGAGACCAAAATGTTCAGTTTCCAAAACTTTACTGTAATTTCCCAGAATTCTAATTTTCCTGGTACAGAGATTGGGGAAGTAAATGGTGATATGATGGAGATATAGCTTTAGTTCTTCAGGAGTGACACCAATTTTCCCATTTCCTCCTGCCCCTTGGTATATGATGTATTTGTTAATACAGTGTCTTTGCTTCATGGGGAAGGGAATGGGGAGTAGCAATGGCTTCTACTTGGCTTCTTGGATATGACTGGACTTACCCCATATCCCAAGAACTCAATATGGGGTTTGGACCAAGTATTAATTTTATTTATTCCTATTTTGCTTTTGGTGATATTGGAAATGACCATCAAGTGGTCTAATAAGGGGGCCATGGTGGTTTCTCAACCTGAGGCTTATAGGAGGGCAGCCCAGGCTTGGCTTTGGCTAAGTGATCCTATGGGCTGAGGCAACAATGGGACAGAATGAAGCCTCCTCCTACAAACCACACAGGTTCTGGGGTGAGTTCGATTTTACATTCTACAATTTCATGCTCTCTCACTTTTATCTCTTACCATCAAGATTGTGACTTCCCTCCTACCGTTGCCCATGGATATTATGAACGAACTCAAGCATTCAGTGTATTCAGAACTGAGGTGATATACAAATGTGACAAAGGATACACTCTGGTTGGGGAAGCCAGACTCTCCTGCAGTTCTTCATGCTGGTCCCCTGCTGCCCCTCAGTGTAAAGGTAACTCCAGCTCCCTTCTCAGTCTGGTGGGTGGAGGTGTCACCAAAGCATGGAGAGTAAAGCTTCTTCCTGCCAGAGGCAGGGAGGAAACATCTGATCTGATTTGATTGACTTGAAAATCATTACTGTGTTCAGGATGCAGACTTTACAAAGGGACAATATTAACATCAACCTCCCCATTCTTTCTCCCAGTTGTAAAACTCAGCCCCATTCCAACTTTTAAGAAACATTCTGCAGGTGAGGCACGCGATATATGGCCTGTGGCAAAATTTCCATGGAGGCTTGCTCTAGCATGAATGTGGACTCTCACGGGCCAGTTCCAATCATCCCAGAGTGGCACATACTTCCATCACAGCCCCGTGCAGATGCACCACCTGCGCATGACATAGGCTGCATGTGCCCATCTGTAGTGGGGACAGGATGAGTCAAGATTGGCTCTGGGTTGTACATGCACACAGGTTGCTAACACTTTGCCATCAGCAACTCCGGGGATTATATGTCACCATGGTCTCCATTAAACACAGGCGGCAATAGGAAAAGAGAGGGTCAGATACCTAGAAGGACTGAGTCCTAACTTGACTTTTTCTAGACTGTATAATGCCTAGTGTGTTGCTGGGATTGAGATGGGAATGTTATTGCTTTGAATCCTGGGAACCCGTGATCACATGTTTTTATATAGCGTATCATGGGACCCATCATCTTTAAATAAATGAAGACCTCAGACAATTTTTCTGCTTTTTTCCCCTGTTTGTTTTTAAAATACTTCCTTATTTTTGAATAAATTTTTGATCGAGCAGGAGAAGGAAAGGCAGAGAGAGACAGAGGATCTGAATTGGGTTCTGCACTGACAGGAGAAAACCCAATGTGGGGCTTGAACTCGTGAATCCTGAGTTCATGATTTGAGTCCAATTCGACACAAAATCAACTGAGCCACCCGGCGCCCTTCAGACAGGTTTATTAAACTGTCTATATCTCCACTTTCTCCTAGTAAGATTGGAATAGTAACAGTCCTCACTTCACAGAGCTGAGAGACTCACCTAAAATGCTTAGCTCGACTGTGATATGTGGTCAGTGCTCAACAAAAATGGAATTAATATTATTGTTACCAAACAAAAGAAGAGATAGAACAATTAGCAGCACCCATAATAGTTATAATCTTAGCCTGCTGTCCTGTACTTTTTCTTTGATTTACAGATTCTTTAAAACCATGTTTCCTTTGTAGCTCTGTGTCCAAAACCAGAAATAGCCCATGGAAAGCTGTCCGTGGATAAAATTCAATATGTTGAACTTGAAAATGTCAGCATCCAGTGTGACTCTGGTTTTAAGTTGGTCGGTCCTGAAAGTATCACTTGCTTAGACAACAGAACGTGGTCCCCCGATGTGCCCAAGTGTGAGTGGGTAAGTGGCACAATTCAAGAAGAGCTTCCGTCCTATCACACACTAGAAATTACATTCCCCTTCCCACCCCCAAGCACTGTCCCAGCCAGCAATGGTGAGATCTGACTTGTCAGGATTCATTCCTGACTCCGTCCAGGGAACCCTCTTTTATCTTGAAGCACTGTGGTCAGCTAGGAGTAACAGATTTTTCCTCTCTCACTGGAGATTGGAAAATCCGAGCCCCTTACAGAGAAGAGGGTGTCAGGCACCTGAAGCACTGAGGCCAAATTTGACTTCTAGACTATCTCATGCTCTGTGTTCCACTTCTGGACCATGTCAGAAACAGCCTCTGTCTTCACAGAGGCCTCCTATGAAACTGTCTCAGAACCAGTCCCTATTGGTTGGGAGGACTAAGTTGGGACCCGAGGTGTTTTCTGGGTTCCCTGCTCACCCCCAAGTTCGGGGCTTCATCTTGTCCCTGAGTCAGGAGGACAATGACAACCCCACTCAGCACCTACATCTCTTTTAGGTGGTCCCTGAAGGCTGTGAAAATGTCCTCGCAGGAAGAAAGACGATGCAGTGTCTCCCTAACCCAGAAGATGTGAAAATGGCCTTGGAGGTGTATAAATTGACTTTGGAAATTGAACTGCTGGAAAGACAGATAGAGAGACCAAGGGATTCTTCTGTGGACTCAGCACCGTAATTTCTCCCTAAAGAGGGAGACAAATGTGCTGCCTTCAATACAACACAGGTCGCTTCAGCTTAGCAACTCTACTGTCCCCTTTGCACCATCATTCATGGTAATGTCTAGAAAGGATCGTTTGTTCACATTTAGTTCTTTGAGACTGCAGAATGATTGATCACCTCCTAGCTCATCCTTTTGCTTTTTTAGACACAAAGTACACATTCTTTTCAAGTAAAAATGTTATAAATCAAATTTAATTTTGTATTTGTGGTCATTAGGGCTCTGTTCTTAATGAGGTCTCTGAACTAATCCATTGCTTAAAGGTGTTCAATACTTTGTGGTAAAAGCCTAGGACATGGCCGTAGGCTCACAGCAAAGCATTTTCCTGGTCTGCCTCACTACACAGTTTCACGTGTGCAAAGCACTCAGCTCTTTAGATTTTTTATTTAATTATTTGTATTCATTTATTTAAATTTCAGTCGGTAAGATTCAGTGCAACGTTGGTTTCGGGGTAGATTCAGTGATTCATCCCTCACATAAAGTACTCAGTGCTCCTCCCAACAAGTGGGCTGCTTAACACCCATCACCTATGTAGCCCATCCCCCCACCCACTTCCTTCCACAAACTCTCAGTTTACTTTGTATCATTAAGACTCTCTTGTGGTACGTTTCCCTCTCTTTTCAGTATTTAGAGTAAATGCAGACACACCCCGAATGCCTGGTCCATCCTTCCCTGAGAGAGAGACAGGTCCCAAAGATGCGGTGACAATAGAGTGTAAGAAGCAGGGGGCTAAGACTCTGCAGCAGCCGAAACCTTGGTGTCCAGGCTCAAGCCTCTTTTGTTTTGCTGCTCGTCAGATAAGAGCAGACACATACAACATAGTGTTTGGCGTCTTGACAGGTCAGGCACCTACAGCGTATTCCATGGTGGGTCGTGAGGACATCTAGCACAACACATCCTTACCCCTGGCCTGGTGTCCGTCCCTACGATGTCCTTCCGGAGAGAACGAGCAGTCTGGCTACTCACCTATCGGGAATGGAACAGCTTTCAGTTCTTTCCTGCTTCGTCCCTTTCCTTCAGGACATTCCTATGGTGCCTCTGGCTTCTTGGTCTCCAATACGCCCCCCTTTGAAGGGACTCACGTCCTTTACCAAACCCCCATGTACCTGATGTCTGCCTCCCTATTGATACCCTTCAACTTCTGCCTTAGGTGGAAGGAGTTTCTGTTTGTGTCTGGACCTCTTTGTTCCATTTTCAGAGAATAAAGTCTGAAAGACTGATGAATATGAGGCCCACATGAAGCCACCCGTGTGTTCCCAAGTCCACCATCTGATTTAATCCCCAGTGTCCTTAATAGAAAAGTTAAATGGCCTGAGTAACTCTCCCCCATCAATCACCCGTACATGGTGGAGTATCTTGGAGGCTGTCGTTCCCTCTACTCACCACCTCCTCCAACGCCTGCATCCTCTGAAATCTCTCCTTCAGAGAGTCTCTTCTTGGGGAATGTTGGCCTTTTTGTTTCAATTTCCCCAAAGAGACTCTGCAGACGCACTGGCGTCTCTCGGGCTTCCACTGAACCTCACATGTACAGGATGGGTGGGAGCTGATGGAGAAACCCACCTAACTCGGAAGGTTCCACTGAGGGTCCTTAATGCCATCTGTCTGCCTCCACCTCCTGGAATTCAGGAGATGTTTATTTTGGGTTTCATCTTAGGCAACGATTTGTGGGTTACTAATTTCCTTGGAAGGTGGCTCCAGAAAGCCCTGTGAGCGAGCAGGTAGTGGGATGATAAGATGAGAAAGGAACACAGTGATGGAGGGATCGTTATTGGGGTGCTGACTGTGGCTGCAGACAGGTGCTCAGTTATGCTGACTCTTCTCTGAGATCACATGGGACACAATGTGCATCTTCTGTCCATGGACGAGGACCTGGGCATTTATCCACCAATCCCCTGCTCTCACTGGTGAACACCTGCTCCACCAGCGTTGACAGCCAACCCCGTGGGCCCCCTGAGCAGGCTCCTGTGGCCAGGGAGCAGCATCAGGCAGAGACCCTGGCGGCTGATTGCTCTATGGCTCTGCCTGCGGTGTCCCCCAGGGCAGGGACTGTGCAGAGCAAACACGGCCTCTTCCACAGTTGCCTTGTTTCTATGACTCTCTTGACATTTCCTTTGGTCTCTCTCTCTCTCTCTCTCTCCTTGTACCCCTCCTTTCATCAGATCCTTGCACTATTTGATATTAGTTGGGTCCACCAGAATTTTTTCAGTTTCTTATAGGGTTATTTACCTTTCTATCAGCTATTGGACTCTGGGCTTATAGATGTATCTTTTGTTATCTGCAGGCTCACAAATCAAATACTTACTAAATCTGCCTGAAATCCAACTTAATTAAAATTTACAGGAACGCCTGGGTGGCTCAGTTGGTTAAGCGTCCGACTTTGGCTCAGGTCATGATCTCATGGTTCTTGGGTTTGAGCCTGGCGTAGGACTCTATGCTGACAGCTAGCTCAGAGCGTGGAGCTTGTTTCGGATTCTGTGTCTCCCTCTCTCTCTGACCCTCCCCTGCTCACGCTCTCTCTCTCTCAGAAATAAATAAAAACATTAAAAACAATTTTTTAATTACAAATAAGTTAAAAGGCCGTTATAACAAATATTGAATTTCCCTTATTGGTTCAGTGCCTGAAGATGTTCCATAAGCCCCTGGGATGACTTAGACATTTTCTCAGGAGGAGGAAATCTGCTCCTTATAGTTAAATGTCCTGTGCACTTAAAATATTATTTTACACTTATTTATTGAAAATTTGATCTATGAAAGTAGAGAAGACTGTTAATTTTTCAGGTAAGACTAAGAGGCACCAAAAAGTCTTACTGGCAGAATTTATAAGAGAGGAACTTGGTCAATCTGATGTTCATTTGATCTTAGAGGAAGAGGAAGGGAAAGAGCCTAAATAATTTTATACCAAATATGAAGAATAAATTTGAGAACATATAGAAAAATAATTGCCATTACCTTCTCAGGAGGTGGGCCAACATATCACAATAAAAAACAAAAACAAAACGGAATTGCCTCATGTTAGCATGAGCTGTATAATTGTAAACAAAGGAGACCATAATGCAGGCTCACTTTATTTTGTTTAACATATCACTATTTTGATAGTATCACTAGAAGTTACCACTAATAAAAATAATTGCCCTTCTTATATGTCAAGTATGGAATTAAGCTTTTATATTGTTCTCACTTAATCCCTGCAATTAACCTAACAGACTAGAATTATTAGTGCCAAGAAACAGATGAGGAACTGAGGCTCAGAAAAGGTTAGTGAGATGCACCATGAAGGGTGGGTGGGAAGGACAGTAATATGATGATTCATTTCTTCCCTGGGTGTCCACTTACTGTTGACGCCCTTGTTTCTGCCATTACCAGTGCCTGGGGGGTGCATGGGTGGCTCAGTCAGTTAAGCGTCCAGCTCTTGATTTCTGCTGAGGTCATGATCTCATGGTTCCTGAGATTAAGCCCCAAGTCCGTTCCACCCTGACAGCAGAGGGGGTCTGCTTGGGATTCTCTCTCTCTCTGTCTCTCTCTCTCTCCCTCTCTCTCCCTCTCTCTCTCTTTCTTTCTGCCCATCCCACCACTTATGGGCATTAGCACTCACATGCTCTCCCTCAAAATAAATAAACATTGAAAAAAATAACTGTCTGGATATTGACAATCAAACCGTAGTCTTTTAATTCATCCTCCTCAGCCTCTCTGAGCAGCCCCTGTAGCAGCAGGGGCCCTTTGGTCTGTCCTGTAGCCTGTATCTGGGTACATAAGGAGTCTGCTCACCATCCTGGCTGTCCCCCTGGACCTTCACCTCCACAGCCTTGGCAACTTGTTTCTTCTCAACATCTGCTTTCTGTCCATCAACACACCATCCCCAGGATGCTGGTGAACCACCAGTGAGGGTGTCCATTTTATGTATCTACCTTCCTGAAACGTTTTCTATGTACTTCCAAAGCCTGCATGTTCCGAAAAAGAGGATGTTAACCAGTTCCCTAAGGTTAGATATAGATAACTATGTATTTCACTTACTTGCTCCCAACTAATTTTCACTCACCTTCTCCCACTAGCAAGAGTGATTAGACCCTCCCCATCTCCCTCCTGTTTCCAAGGCTCAAACACAGGTCTTCAAACAGTAAATAAAAAAATTTAAACACTACTTCTTATTTTCTTTGTGACATGCTATTTGAATTAGTTTTATATCTTAAACAAGGTATTCCACTGGCCATTCACATTAGAATAAATGGATTTTTTTTGAAATGGAAACCCAATTTCTATTTTGTATTGTATCATAACATTGCATTTGCTTGCAAAAACTCATTCTTGAGTTCCCTGAGTGATAGATACTTAGATAATTGATGTTTTACATGCTTTATATATTCAGAACACTTGATGGGTTGTTATTCAAAATGTTTTTATGAATATTTGAGAAACTGAGTAGAGCAGTGAGTCAGAGAAGGGAAGGTATCCAATAAGAAGTGCATTGTCAAGTCATCCAGTCTGTGGGTGACCTAAACATATTGGGAAACTATGAAAGGGTGTCAAACACATACCCGACAGTTATCTCACTCAAAGCACAAGGAGCTGGTGTATTGATACAATAACTTCCATGGATATTAGGGATACTAGGGTCTGTTACTGGGACATGTTATTTACCTGGTATTTTTGACCTGCTCTCCATGTTGTTGGAATAACCTTCAGTAGTTCTTGAAAAAACCTGGGCAAACAAAGCAGATACTGACTTTTAGAAGTTTTCCAGAGTGTGCCAAAGCAATAGAACCCTAGTAATGCAGGTGGAACTTGACAGTGTCTGCTACCTACTTAGCATGAATGGGTGATCTCACATCTGTGTCCTTGCCTTCCTGCTCTGGATTTGCTTCTTGTATACATGTTCTCTTTCTTGGTTTATTTACTCTATTTACTGGAGGACTTCCTCAGTAAGCTGCCTAGGAAATGATATATAGAAAGTAAAATGCACATTGCACTTCTACATATTTAAAATTGTTTTATTTGAATATTTGGATGATAATTTCATTGTGTGTAGAAAATTGGGTTGAAAATAATTTTCTTTTAGAACTTTTAACTATCTTCTTTGTACAATAGTTGCCAGTATTGCAGTTGAAACAAGCTATTCTTATTTATTTATTTAAAAATTTTTTAAGATGGTTATTTATTTTTGAGAGAGAGAGACAGAATGTGACTGGGGGAGGAGCAGAGA